GGAGCTTCTTCTCCTTCAAAGTATCCAGGTTCCATTGCCTCATCCGGAATCCCACCCTCTGAAACTCGGATCCTTATCCATATCAGCGTCCACAACCTCTGTCGGAGGTTTCGGGACACTTTGCCTCTCTTCACCCTGGAGATCTCGTTAACTCTCATAGGTGATCTTAGAACGTTTTAGGAGTGAAGGCTCGCTTCCAGATTCCATCACCCCCGCATCCCTGGAGCTTCTTGGACTCGTATCCAGAACTTCAGTGGTCGGCTCTGCTTTTTCCAACCTTTGTCGCTGATTCTTCAACCATTCGTTATACCGCTTTCGGCATTCAGCATTGTGATTCGCCTTACCTCTTTTCGGTACACGCTGGACAATTCACCGTTCCTCCATGCTCTTTCACCCATGCTGCTGGTGGTCCCACTTTGCTCATGTCTGTGGTTGGACCATCAGACACTCTGCCCTTAAAGGCTTGTCCGATTCACCGTCAATCTTATCAGGCACACCATCCTCTTTCTCCTTCAGAATGGGAGGAGCATGCTCCAACCCAATCTTCAAAAGCGATTGTGTGCTTGATTGACTTCGCCCGAAAGTGCTTGGGAACATCCATCACTTACCACACGAGTCAAACCATCAACTTTGGGATACACCTAGACCGCTTCCACAAATCGCAATAGCGCTGTTGTTTTCATCAAATCCGGCAGCTCGGCTAGAACTGCGGTCTCTATCAACGAAGAGTCACACTCATGGAGGGCTCTGTAGCACCAACTCCTGGGGTGATTTCTTTCCATCAAAGGCAGCAGCATGGTGATTGTGCATTGCAGCACAGTAAATCAAACCATACTCAAATGCTCAAGGGCTTCTCTTCTCTTCAAAGTCCAGTGCTCTGAGATCCAACCTTACCGTAAACAACTCCTTGAGTGTTCTTACTGCCCTTTCAACACCACCGACCGCTTCGTGTCCTTGCGGAGGTGCTCTCTGGGTCACAATCCGAATCTCCAGATTGGCTTGCTTGATCAGTGCGCTTACCGCTGTCTTGCTGTCCGTTCGTAACAGTACAGCAGAACCTGCAATGTCCAGCCCGAAAGCATTCATCCAGAAGCGAATCCAGCTTGTCAGCATTGGTTCCAACCAATAGACATCCGATCATCCTAGTTGACATTTCAGTCATGACCAGCACCCTCATATTGGGAGCTTGGCAAAAGTACCAGTCACCAGATTGATGAAGCAAAAATTCGCTTGCGAAGCACAAGTCGATTCTTAACATCCTTGGCCCGGCGATGCTGTGTAGTGCCTCGAGTCAGCCGACAATGAGGACACTCAGACCAAAACGGAATGTGGCCTCGCATCCGACGCAGCTCCATTTCCTCTTGCTTTTTCTTGGTCATCGTTTTCACTGACTGCATCTGATCAACCTCCATAGGTTGTCGGCCATCATCCACCATTGGTCGAACTTCGGTTCATCCGGGTCACTTTCTTTAGGGTTTAGGGTTTAGGATTTAGGGTTTAGGGTTTAGGGTTTAGGGTTTAGGGTTTAGGCTTCAGGGTTTAAGGTTTAAGGTTAGGGTTTAGGGTTTTTAGGGTTTTTGCTATTTAGGGTTGGGTGTAGGGGTTCGGGTTTAGGCGAGGGTTTCGGCTTAGGCTTAGGGTTTCGGCTGCAGCTTAGGCTTGAGTGTTTCGGTTTAGGGTTTAGGCGAAGGGTTGAGGGTGCATCGCAGCGAGATGTCTTTTCTCGTAAATTCAATTTCCCAACCAGTTCTCACCATTTGTTCGGTGCTCAGGATGTTGTGCGCCACATCTGCAACAACTCCAGTCACATACACTGAAATCAAACCAAGGTACTGTTGTCCTTCATACGTCGGCAAGGATTGAACGGATTAGACGGCCTCGTCTGAGAGAGATCTGGAGATCCGATGCTCCAACTCAGCAAGTCGGACTCTCGTCTCAGCTTCCCATGACCAGTCTACTTCATCAGGGCTCCGGGAATCCAGTCCTTCCTCACCTCATCTCGCAGGTCTTCCAGAGGTCGCAACACAGATTCCACTCGGACCTTTGACTCAGGCTCGTTCCATTCACCTCCAACCAGATGGTAGTCACTCGACTCGCCATCCTTGTGCCAACAATCGCGGGCATAATGTCCCTTTCCGTGACACACATAGCACTCCACGTCTTTCTTGTGCTGGTTTTGAGATCGTCTTCCAGCACCTTTGCTGGACTCACGCTTGCCTTTCTGTTCCTTTCCTTTGCCTTTTCCTTTTTCTTCGTCGCTCTTTCCCTTGTTGGGACCCCTTAAAGGTTGAAACTTTGTGCCAGGGGCTTCAGACCACACCCTCTGTTGCACTTCAAACTTTAGAGCAACGCGCTTCAAATCTTCAAACGATTCGCTGTTGCCGTGCAGCAAGCAGTGGCTTTCGCACTTCTCAGGCAAACTTCGCAGCAAAACTATCACCGAATCAGCTTCTTGGATCTGTAATCCGCCAGCATGTACATCGGAATCGAGACTATTGAGCAACTTCGTGTACTTGTTCATCTCATGCTCAATGTTTCGCACGATTTCCGGAATGCTTGGCGCTTTACGGTTTGGTTCACCAACTGCGATCGGAAATATAAGCATTCAGCTCGTGATTTCAGGCAAAATTCCTTCGCCAACAATCTCAATGCCACAAAGCCAGACTGTTGAAAAGTGCTTTACTTTCAACATACGTCTGCAGAATCAGAGAACTCTTGAACACTCCTGTTGTTCCACAGTAAGCCGATCCTGCTTCAGCATGGATTTTGGGTCTAGACACTGCTCTTTCAAAATTGCCAGCATACCACAATACTGTCAAAACCCCTCTGCCCCAACTGCAAAAAATGATAAAACACTTTTTTTGATCTCGGAGGCTTTGTTCTTGCAAGTTTTGGATGACAAGAAGCAACACCACCAGACGTTGCTGTTTCAAACTTCTGCCAGCATACCACAATACTGTCAATACACCATGCTTTTTGGGATCCTTAAAGGCTGTGTTCCGCCAGGTCAAGGACGACAAGAAGCAACACGAGCACGTATTGCGCTTTCAAAAAACAGCCAGCATACCACAATACTGTCGAAACTGTTCTTCTCCAACGGCAAGAGTTGATACAACAGATCTGAAGGGCTTTGCTCTTTCAGGTTTAGGATGACAAGAAGCAACACCAGCAGACACTGCTCTTTGGAAATTGCCAGCATACCACGATACTGTCAAAACCACTCTGCCCCAACTGCAAAACATGATAAAACACGTTTTTTGATCTCGGAGGCTTTGTTCTTGCAAGTTTTGGACAAAAAGCAACACCACTAGACGTTGCTGTTTCAAACTTCTGCCAGCATACCACAATACTGTCAAAACCGCTCTGCCACAACTGGAAAATTGAATACAGCATGGTTTTTGGGATCCTTAAAGGTTTTTTTACCTTTAGGTCTAGGACGACAAGAACAACACTAGCGGGTATTGCCCTTTCAACATTCAGCCAACATGCCACAAAACTGTCAATTCTGTTCTTCTCCAACTGCAAGAGTTGATACAATACTTTCTTTTGATCTCAAGGGTTTGCTCTTTCAGAGTTGAGGATGACAAAAAGCAACACCAGCAAGCAAGAAGCCAAAAACTGGCCTCAGCCGAAAGCCAAAGTCAAAGCCAGAGACTGCCCAGCCTGAAGTCTCAAGTCCATTCAGCCAGCACACCAAAATGCTCCAAACTGCAAAAATTAACACACGTTCTTCTGATCTGGCTTTGCTCTATGACAAGAAGCAACAGCAGGACACTATACTGTCAAAAATCTTTGCTCCAACTGTGGAAATTGATAAAACACGGTTTGTTTTTGCGTGTTCCACTTACATGCAGAAGGGTCGACGACATCGACGCTTATACATGCAAATCTGAACGAGTGTAACAACTACATCGTTCCCTGGCTCTGAGGATGGCTAAAGATGCACTGCCGCTCTCGATCCTCTCGGCCCGTCGCACAGCCTCGAAAAATTTGAAACACATCGGAGCCTGAAAACCAAAACTGCAACTGGAACAAACGAACTTTCTGGTTCAGCTGCTTCTCGAAGCAGAGCCCTTCCCCCTCGACAGAACTGCAGCGTGTGCTTCTTCTCCTCTCTTTTTCTCTTCCTTTCTCCTCTCTTCTCTCCCACTTTGGCTCTCGTGCTTCAGTTGCCACGCAGGAAGCGATCCGGAGAGATTCTTCCCGAAATTTCTCCTGGATCCGCTACCGTGAAGTTCAACGGCGAAATTTCAGAGAAGGATGGTAAAAGAGATGTGTTTGCCCGATCAGAAGTGGTTGCCCAGTTTGCTGGCTTCTTGACCTGGATGGAAAAGTTCATTAGTTGGGTCGGATTGGGTTCTGAAGTGTTGCCTGACAAGTTGATGCATGCAGTGAATGCTGGAGTTTGCTTCTTGTCATCCTAAACCTGAAAGAGCAAAGCCCTCCAGATCAAAAGAACGTGTTGTATCAACTCTTGCAGTTGGGGCAGAGCAGTTTTGACAGTATTGTGGTATGCTGGCTTTGAAACAGCAACGGTTGCTGGTGTTGCTTTTTGTCATCCAAAACTTGAAAGAACATTGGTTGTGGCTTTTGCATGGTTTCGCAAGACAGAAGGCTTTGTTCCAGCCGAGGGCTTGTTCCAGCCAGGGCGTTTTCCAGCCCCTGGCTGGTTCCAGCCCAGAGCGTTTTCTAGCCTGGGGCTTGTTCCAGCTCAAGGCATTGTCCAGCAAAGGGTGTGTTCCAGGCACAAGCTTGTGAAAAATGTTCTCGGCATGTTCCGGCCTGGTTCCAGCCCCGGGCTGTTTCCAACGAGGGGTCGTTTCCACCTCTGGGCTCATCACCCTTTTTGTGCTCTAAAATCATGTTTCCCATTCCCGCGCTCTTCGGATGTTCTTGGGGCTTCCGAGTAGAACTCAAACTTGGGATTATGAGGAGAGTTTGGATTTGCCGGGCATTTGCATGTCGGTCCCAGAAGAGCGGAAGTAGTGCTATCTTGTGCCATGGCAATGACCGACAGCAGCGTGAGCTCACGGACGTCTACTTCGGCTCCCCAGTCTTATCCCTGCTTCAACTCCAGGCACAGCTTCCCCACGGCTGCAACGATCTGGTTCACATGCAGAAGCCCGAGATGCCTCCACGGACATCCTGACCTTCCCGAGCGTGGCAAGAGGTTGGCCTTGTGCCACCAGTGCCTCCTTGGAGGTGTCTGTCCGAAATGTGGGGAAGAAATACTGCAGAATGCTGTGGAAGTCATGCCGGCTCGTTTGCAAAGCGAGAGTGGGACTGGCTATCCCGAGTCCAGCAGCGGAAGCAACCGTTTCACAAGCAAAACTCGGAAGCACTGGGACTCCGTCGGCTGGAGTGACTGGGATCAGCCCCGGAATCGGAGTTGGGGGCACTGGAACACTCCGATGTGGGGTGGGGACGGATGGGCACAGGCAGACTTTCCCTCTGAGTGGAACTGCTACACACGCCCGTATTCTGAGAGAGTCTCCATCAACCCACGGTCTGTAGGACTTGTCGTGGGCAAGAGAAACGAGACCCTCCGTGCGCTGAAAAAGCGACCAGGTATCGAGGATGTCGTCGTGCAAAGCGGCGGGCACATCACAGAGATACCCTTTGAAGGCCAAGGGTCTAGCTGGTGCACAGTGACAGTTACGGGCTGGAGTGAGCAAGCTGTTCGGGATGTGGTGGAAGAGGTGCGGAAGTATGAAAGCCGGCACAAGTGGGGCCAAATGGGAGGAACTGGCGTGCGAAGCCTCCACGTAGACATCGGGAAGGGAGGCCTTCGGATGCAGGAGGCTGCCGTGGGGATAGTTGCTGCTGACTTCAAGGCTTACAAGCAAGAACGAAGCTTCTACACCATCAGCCGCTGTGACGGGAGCAGTTCACGTGCAAACCCAGGCCAACGAGGGAAAAGAAACGATTCATCCATTCACGTTGGCCCGAATCTTCCGGGCTTGCCGTGTCTTCTGCACGAGCTGGAGACAGCTTTGAGCGATCTACCAACGGGAGATTCTTGGGTATTCTTTTGAGGTTACTTTTCGTACAACATTTTCGTGTGCATGCATAGGTAGCAAGGCTTGAAGGCTTGGAGGACACATGTCATGGAGGAAGGCCACATCCCACCGTGCGAGCACCCGAGGAAGATGCAAGGATCGTCATTCGAATTGGGTGCTTGCTCTTCTCTGGTCTTGATCGGGCCGCGCTCCGTTGGTCGCAGGAGGACGGTGTCTTTAAACGGGAACTGTTGTGACCCAAGCCTCAAGCAGCAGCAGTGTGAACGAAGGAATTCGGGCGCCTCCATCCGAAATCCGACTTTCAGACCCAATTCTCGAAGTTCGTCAAGGATTCGGTGGCTGAGCGCATCAAGCTGTTTTGGGAGCTGGAGCTCTTCAGTCGCCGGCGCGGCCGGCGCGTGCCCCATCCCACGCGCCTTGCTTCGTCTGCTCCCCCTTAGACATCTGACGAGCTCGTCAGCGGTTGGACTCAGCGGGGAGAAGAGCTCGTGGGTTGTGGGTTTGGCGGGTTGGGCTTTTTCTTTCTTTCCTTTATATATGTAGTTCTCTCTCTGTCTCTGTGAGATTTACATGGAGTCCCAACATCAACGACATCACTGCATCGCTGTTATGTTAAGGCCACTCGGCCCTTTCGGGCGCTTGGGACTTGGGGGCTTTTGTGGCTGTTGTGCGGAAGTCGCGGTCTCGGGTTCTGGGGCCCGACCATCGCTAGGGTTTAATGCTGGCTTTATTTTTTCGGCTCACCCGTATGAGTCAAGGGAGTTTTTACCGAGTTCGTGCGAGTTTCTGTTCGAACGCAACCAAGGTGCGAGCAAAGTTCGGAATTGCGCCTGGAGCTGCAGGAGACTTCGCTGGAGGGTTTCTTGTCTGTGGAGGGTCTAAGGCTAGGGCAATTCGTCAGAAACAAGCTAGGAGACTGACCGCACGATGCTCATAGATTGGATTGTTCTGTTTGGAGCCAGCACTCGAGAGGTGACTTTTTCTTGGGGCAACCCGAAACCCTAAACCCGAAACCCTAAACCCAAAGCCCAAAACCCTAAACCCTAAACCCTAAACCCGGAGGAAGAGCGGAAGGACTTGCCGAAGGAGTTGGTGGTGGTTCTCCTCAACCCGGAATTTGACCTGGAGTCGACGACGCGGCTCGGGCAGGGCTCCATCAAGCAGGTGCACAGCCGTACGGGGAGGCGCAGACCCTAAACCCTAAACCCTGGGCAAAAGGCTGCTAAGAGTCCCCGGTCAAAAGGCTTCTGCAAGCGCCTAGAGTGGTATTGAAGCCGGAGCTTACCAGACTGGGTCTTTGAAAACAAGACCAGACGTGCCAAACATGGTAGTGGGATGTGGTGTAGTTGCCCAGAATGCAGGCTGACTTTGCTGGGGCCAGTTCGGCTCCAAGTGAAATTCGGGAAGACGCTGTACCTGGTTTGGAAATTCTTACTGGATTTGGCTGTGCGGGTTCTCGAAAAGTAAAGACCAGCAACGCGCTTCGTTGGATCCGCAGGCCTCGTCTTGAGAAAGCTTGCCCACGATTCCAGGGTGCAGGGCTGGCACCTTGCTTCAACCCCCAGGCTCCAGGTCAGCTTCATGGCCTGGGGAAACGCGCCCAGCCCGTAACTGAGGCGAAGTCGCAAAGCAGACGGCCCAATTCTTCGCAGAAGCAGTTAACAAGGCTGTTAACAACTGCCCCAAGGAGGCTCAAAGGGTATGTACCCCCTCCGCTGCAGGCGCCTGTCTGCGGACTTCTGCTTTGCAGAGGCCACAGAGCCAGAGCTCGGCTTGTCGTTGCGCCTCCAGGCGGCCTTCTTTTGTCGGATCTTGTGCCGGAGCTTGTTTGTAAAAAAACCAAAGAGGGTTTTTGTTAACAAAAAAAGCCGGGTTTCTACAAAAACCCTGTTTGTAAGAAATTCAAGATATGTCGTAGGGTGTATTGTTCAGTTCTGTCTTCCAGGTTTTTCACACGAGGCTTACAAGGTGTTTAGCAAGCTGACAACATGCTTGTGGCACTTCATACTGTCTAGGGAACCAAAACAATATACGGGAATGTGGGATGGTGAGCTTGGGTATCCCAAATTCTTTGCGACATGCAGAAGTCTTGTGGCTGGCCCCAGTTTATTGTTATTTGAGTTCTTTTGAAAGGCGTTGAAGTTGCGAATATCTGTAGTGGCTCTCACTCCCTCTCTGGTTCTATCTCCCTCTCTCTCTCTCTATCTCTCTATCTCTCTTGCTCTCGCAAGCGCCAAGCATGTCCACAAGTGAGACTGCTCTTCAGCAGCCCTTTCAGCTGGACTAGCGCGCGGCAAAAAACAAAACAAGTCTGTGTAGAACGCACCGTGTGGAGAAAAGTTGTGGGACATCCTGTTCAGGGCTTTTCGTTACACCTTCCAGGGGGTTGCAGATTTCCCTGCCTGATGGAGAAGGAAACGTCCACAAACAGGAATACTGTGGTGGTCTTTCCCCCTAAACCCTGAACCCTAAACCTTAACTGATGCACATGGGACGTTCATGACCATCACTAAATGCCGTCTCGGTTTCGCTTCCGGTGGCCACCCGAAGCAGCTTTAGGGTGTAGGGGGAGCGAAGACCTAGGTTGTTGGCAAACGCGCAGTTCGTTGTATCACCTTGGTTCAGCGGGAATCTTCGCAGTTGGGTGCGCGCACACACACACACACAATAGCACCGTGGGGTTGACATCTGGGAGGCCTTCCAAAGATCCCGACCACCCCAATGAGACGAGAATTGCTGGGGATCTCCCCTGGCTTCTGCTTAGTTACGGTCACGGGCTGGTTCAGCTCGTCACACATTGAAGAGGTGGTTTGGGCCTGTGCGGGCACTCGCTGGCCGAACACTTTCCAGACCAGCCACCCAAAAGTATGTTCTGGTAGAACCCATGTCTTGACTTCCCCATTCTCAAGAATAGCAGCAGATGGCGTGCGCTTTGACTTGTGCAGGTCACCTCTGGACAAGCTGCCCGATTGCATTTTCGCTGAAAGCTCAGTAGGCATTCTTTCTACTTAATCCCCACCCTAAACTGTAAGAAGTAGTCGTAGTAGCTGTCGTGGTCGTGGTCGTCGTAGTAATGGTCGTTGTAGTGGTCGTAGTAGTGTGTGGTAGTGGTCGCGGTAGTGGCAGTGGAAGTGGTTGTGGCAGGGGTAGTGGCAGTGGCAGTGGTACTGGTGGTAGTGGTGGTGTTGGTGGTGTTGGTGGTGGTGGATGGTAGGTGTGGTCGTGGTGGCAGTGGTGGTAGTGGTGGTAGCGCTGGCAGTGGTGTTGGTGGTGGTAGAAGTGGGAGTGGTGATAGTGGTAGTGGTGGTGGTGGTGGTGGTAGTAGTGGTGGTGGTGGTGGTCGTCGTCGTCGTACACGGGAAGGACTCCTGGCTCCTAGCTTAAGGCTTACATCTGGATGCAAGTGTTGAAGTGTTGAGATTTGGGGGTGAAATGGTGAAGGCAGCTTGGCTTGTGGCAGGTAACTCAAAGCGCTGGGCTCACGGCGTCAGATTCAGATCTTCGGATGTAGGTATCGGCATCGGAGTTTGGGGCTCATTGCAGTTATTACGGACATACCTAGCTTCTTCCCTTAGCTTATCTACTGATCTACACACCCATGGTATGAAAGCACGAACAAGCCTACCAAACATCCGCCTTTCCGACGGTGATGCAAAAGTTGAGCCCAGTGGGTTCGAAAGACAGTATAGAGCCAGTGTGAGATTTCGCACACACTTGCTGTCTGTTCGTATTACGTGTGCGCCTTTACGAGCAATCTTGCCGGAAACCCAGAAAACGCCCACTCGACACCGCTGAACGTAAGATCCTCCCTAAGCACAAGCCATGAACCCAAACTCGAGGACTGGGCTCATGTCTGTCATCTGCTGGAAGAGGCACCGATTACAGATGGCCCTCAGAACACCAAGCTCATTACGCTCGCGCACAACGGCCGCAAGGCAGCACTTTAGAGAGACAGCCAGGAACTGGGGAGAAAAACGCGTAAACCCTAGCCTTCCAGGGACCGAATCGTCAGGTTACTCGGAGGTTCATGGGGTACTTATAAGTAGGGTTATAAGTACCCCAACAAGGGCTATAAGTATAGTTTCCATGTTTATAACCCTGCAACAACTCCCCCATGAACCTCCAAGTACTCTTAGCATTTGTAAACTCTTTTTTTCTGGTGTCTGGAAAACAAAGAGACACAGCTTGGGCCGAGAAGCACGCTGGCCGCATCAATGCGCATCTCTGGAGGTACATGTGTAGCTATATCTGGGGGGTTTCTGAAATTAGGGGTACCATACTGGGGTCCTTATTATAAGGTGATCCATCCTGGGTGTCTAGTTTAGGGTCCTCGATTTCGTAAACCCCCCCATGTAGGGTTATAAATATTGTGACCATACTCATACCCCCGTATGGCTACCCAAAAGGAACCTCCCAGTCGGATTTGAGGGCTTGGAGCCAAGCGTTTCATGTCCAGTGGTTCCTTGCACGTTCGGGGTTAGCAAATGCTATGCTCAACTCTTTATGGCTAAGTTAATTTCCGCAGCAAGAATCATAAACTCCCGCGTGTAGAATACCCAAAACCCTTCTGAAACCCTTGTGAAACCTTCGTTAAGACCCAGTAAGGCCTGTAAAGCCTACAGTCCCTATAAACCCAAAAACGCCCCCCAGGAGACCCACACCCAGGTCCAGCGAAGTATTCCATCCGGGCGCTGAAGCGCGTGCACTGGCAGGAAACCTACGCCGGCAAGGGTGTTGCATCGGCGACGTTCAAGCGACTCACAGAGAAGGATGATCGACATGTCTTTCAAGGCGACATCGAGAGCTGGGAGGTAGAATTTACCTCTGGAGCCCTAGATGTGCTCTTGAAGACCAAGGGACAAGAGCAGGAGGCTTGCCTGGAGTGCAAGAAGCTTGTCTCTGAGGTCCACAGGTTTATGAGCTCCCTTGTGTCTCAGCCCCCAGCCTAGGTGGGCCCCCATCCTGGAAGCGTTTCACAGTGTCCGTGTTCGTCCGAGCAGTTAGAGAGAGCTTCATGTGAGAAAAGGCCAGAGACGGTTGCGAAGTGAAGTGCCTGAAGCTCCCTCTTCATCCCGAGTGGTGTAAGCAAACCTGTTTTTTAAACCCAGTGTGTAGTCCGCGGTTGCAATGAGGGTTGAGGGTCACAGGGCCGAGTTTCTCATCCCTCAATTCCCAGGCAGATCCCTCAGCTGTCGGCTGGGATCGCTGAGAGCTGATCCCCAACCACATCCACTCGCCACCGAATCTGCTCAAAGAAGGATGAGCTAGAACCCGCCCCCCAAGGCTAGAAAAGAACAGGGATTCCGAGCCTGCGCCCCGATGGCCACAGAGACCTCGCAGCAACGCACCAACAAAAACAACCAACGACAACGACCTGTGAGTGTGCTTGCTTCCGAGCTCCGATTCCTCAGATAAGGGCTTGCCTTGTCCTGAGTCCTGCGTAGGCAAGCTCCAGGCACCCTGTGACATTGAAAGTTGAATTCGGTGTGGCCGTTGCATGGTAAACGACATGGCTTTGGTTACCACGTGCCCCTTTTCTTCTGTTGCTAGAAATGTTGCCTTCTTTCATTGTTGCGTAGTTCTTTCACTGTTGCGCAGTTCGCGGGCTATTGCCCGCAACCTTCTCTCTGTCGTTAGACCTCGAGAGCAAGAGTTAAGGGTGTTCCGCTGTCCATCGCGCCGTTGATGAATGAGCCAACACGTTATGTTTATCTATTACAGAGTAAGGACTATTTATTTGTTGTAATTTCTGTTTTATTTGTTGAATTATGTCTGTGTGCATGTTCTGTTCAGGTTTTTGCTCATCTGTTTGAAATGCCTCCAGCCTCAACCCCCAAGGTGTTATTGGGGCGGGCCCTAGGCCATTGTGGGGGTCATGAGGCCAAACTCAGTACTTGGACGTTCATATGGGTTGTTTAGAAGTAGGATGGTACGTAGGTTTATAAGTAGAGCTACCGCACTTGTAACCCGACTAATAACGAACCTTGAACCTTCAAGTAGTTGTTCGTTCATGTCATAGCCCATCGTTGGTTCAGGGGCAGTTTGAGACGAACAACGCGCTTTGGTTCTCGCGGCAATGGCGGCTGGCACGGAGGGTGGCACGCAGTTGCAACAGCTCTTAGAGACATCTGCAAGATCATCTCCTGAAAAAACCGCCATCAGAACAGACGGAGGTGACGTAAGCTATTCCGAGTTATGTGCATTGGTGGGACGAGTGGCTGGTGCTTTGACAGGCTCAGGCGTTGACAAGATGGATCGAGTCGCGTGGCTCTTGCCAAACCTTATTGAAGCTGTCGCTTGCTCCTTTGCCTGCTACAGTGTAGGCGCTGTGTCAGTGCCAATCAATGTCCGGTACTCGTCTGAGGAGGCTGCCTACATGGTCAACAAGGTGCAAGCCAAAGTTCTGTTCCTACAGGCCGACAAGTTGGATGTACTGCGCAAGTTGTCCTGTCCAGTACAAGTTGTTGTGCTTGGGGCGGCACGCGGGCAGCACAGAAGTTGGGAAGAGTTCTTGCAGACGAAGGCGCGGGCCTGTTTTCAGCCTGTCAGCGCGCAACATCCTGCTTTGATCCTCTTCACGTCAGGCTCCACAGGCCACCCCAAAGGAGTTTTGCATTCTCATGGAACTTGCTGGGCAGCCATCGACACTTCAGCAAGAAGCTTCCGACTTGGGAGCGATGATGTCGTGTTGGTTGGGAAGGCCATCTGCCATGCAGGTGGGCTTCAAACACAACTCCTCCCAACCTTGCTTGTGGGAGGTGAGGTGGTCCTGACGATGGTCCCACCACCAGCAAAAGCAGTGGACCTCATCCAGAACTTCGGCGTGACAGTCTATGCAATGCTTGCGAGCTTCCTGCTGGACTTCGTGGAGCATCTGGAGACGACCCGGCAGGAGGTCCCAAGCTTGAAGAAGGTCATCGGCTCTGGTGACTGCGTTCCGCTCCCGCTCCAAGCGAGATTTCACAAGCTGTTTGGCTGGCCGGTCCTGGAAGGTTGTGGCATCACTGAAATTGGGGGCTACTTCGCCCTGCAGCCAATTGGCAAGGAGAAGCCCGGCTCGATCGGCATCCCGACTCCCGGCACAGAAGTTCGGCTGGTTGATGAGGAGGGCAAGGATGTTGCTGTAGGTTTGCCTGGGGAGGTCTTGCTAAAGACGCCTTCGGCTGCTCTCGGATATTGGGACGATCCCGAGGCATCCTCTTTGCTTTTCAGAGACGGCTGGCTCCGAACGGGCGATGTTGCCCGGGAGGATGAGGATGGCTTCCTTTGGTTTGTGGGTCGCCGCAAGCTCATTATTGTTCGTCGTGGCTCCAATATCGCCCCTGCGGCAGTCGAGAGAGCCTTAGCCACACATCCAGAAGTGCAATCGTCGGTCGTTGTGGGGGTGTCGGATGCCCTGGACGGTCAGGTCCCTGTTGCATGGATTTTGGCCAAGAATCCTTCTTGCCCTCCCACAAGTACATCCCTGGCGGAGCACATGTCCAAGCGTTTGGCCTCTTTCGAACTTCCGGTGCTTTATCTGTTCTTGGACGCAATGCCACTCAACAGCGTCGGGAAGTTCGATCGGGCGGAGTTACAGCGTGCCGCCCAGGACAAGCGTGATATCCTGCTGCATGCAAAGCGTGCAGGTGCATAAGAACATGCAGGGGTGCAAATTCGTTGTCAGCAGTGCAGCACTTGTAAAGTCGTATTCTGAAGCTGCCACCGTTTCCGAAGTTTCTGAGATTTCATCGAGGTGGGATCCCCTTGGCCGAATTTGTGCAGTGAAGGCCTCGGCCCAGCTCCCTTGCACCACTTTGTAGAGCCCAAGTCCTTTGATCTTTTGTCAGGAACGTCCTTGGCCGGCTGGGCCACATGTTTCTGCTGGTACAGTCGTGGAAACAAAGCTCTCCAGCGCAGAATCAGGGTATGGCTTGGGGGCTCTTAGTGATCCCATACCGGTGTGATGACCACTTGGAGGTTCATGGGTAGTTCTAAGGTGGGTTTTAAGGGTAACTGTACTTGTAACCCTATGTAGAGTACTTACAACCCTACTTAGATCTCCCCATGACCCTCCAGGCAGGATCAGCAAGCTGCCTCCCCGTGATGCCGACATCTGGCTCAGCCGGAGCCGTAGTCCAAAGATCCGGAGATCCAATCAGGCACATGGTGCCTCAGGACACCACTCCGAATTTTCTTCATTGCCAGGCTAGGATCCTCGGGTTACCTCCGGTTTCCTGTGCATATCGATCGTTGGGACACCTGGGCCGTCGCCATGGCTGATGCAGCAGAGGCCCAGAGAGAGGCGCCCAGGGCTGCGCGAATGGGTGGTGCATTCTTGGGCACAGTATACTTACACTTTTCTTCGACACTGGCTTTCCCAGGACCGCTCTAGACCCCCATCTTTCCTGACTTCGGTTAGACCCTCCCCCCCTTCCCCCCCCCCGCAGCTCATTTGTGCATCGGAGCACATCCCAATGCCCAGGCACCTCAACACCTGTCAATTCAGGAAATTCCTGCTCCTTTCTTCAGTACCGCTACACCCTAAACCCTAAACCTCAAACCCTAAACCCTAAACCCTAAACCCCTAAACCCTGAACCCTAAACCCTAAACCCTAAACCCTAAACCCTAAACCCTAAACCCTAAACCCCAACGCCCGGAAGGCCAAGGATGTGCTGAACCCTAAAACCTCACCTCACAGCGCCCGTTGTGGGAATGAGAACGCGCGGCTCATGGCCGCAGCGCTGCATGCTTCTGCGCAGACTCAGGCAAGGGTTTAGGGTTTAGGGTTTAGGGTTTAGGGTCTAGGGTCTAGGGTTTAGGGGTTTAGGGGTTTAGGAATTTCCCGAGCCTGCTGGAGGTTGCAGTTTCGGGATGCATCTAGGTTCGAGCGCTTGAGGAATGCAAGGGTCGTGGTTCGAGGGACGAGCTTTGTTTAAATCTGGAAACCTTGCTACAAAACATTGGCTTCTTAGTCTTCTTAGTCCCCCCTTTGGACCC